TTGTCTGTTCCCCTTCCCCCAATTCCCCAGCACTGTTCCCATCCCCCAATTCCCCAATTAAAAAAAAAAATCTTTAAAAAAAAAAGAAATAGGAAATTTTAAATGAATTACATAAACATCTCATTACCCAGAATTAAAGACAGTTATTATAATTTACATTTAATTCTATTTATTTATTACATATACACAGTATGACAGTTTTCAAAATTAACTGAAAATGAATAACTTGTATATGTGGGAAATTGTCTTATTATAAAGTAGAATAGCTATTTTTGTGATTTACCTATGTGTATTTTTTTTTATTTAATACAGAAAAAAGTTTTTGCAAATCAGTGAACTAACTTAAAAAATATATTTAGTTTTGAAAATCTTTGCAAGGAACATATTAATAATTACTAATTGCAAATCAAGAATGAGTGTTGTATATTTGTATCCTAGCGCTGTAACATATATATATATATATTTCTTTTTAAAGATTTTATTGGGGAATTGGGGAAGGGGACCAACCAAGTTGTTGTTCTTTGATCTTCGTTGTGAAGGGCACCAGTCGCCATCTGGCTTCCCGTCAGCAGCTCGTGGCCTCTAAGCTCAAGGTGCTGTGTTCAGTCTTAGTTGTAGGTGGACATAGCCACCATCCCATGTGGGAGTTGAACCCGGCAGCCTTGTTAAGAGCACACACCCTATCTACTGAGCCATCTGGGCAGCAGCTCAGCTCAAGGTGCCAAGTTCATTGTTAGTTGTGGGTGGGCATAGATCACCCTCGAACAGGCAATCTTGTTGTTACACGAGCTGAGCCATCCTGCCACCTGTTGACAGGTCAGCGACAGCTCAGCTTGGGCGCAGTGTCACTGGCCCATGTGGGAATCAAACTGGTGGCCCCGTTGCTCAGAGCTTCTGCTCTTAAGCCAACTCTTAACCAACTGAGCCACGCAGCCAGCCCTGTAATATATATTGTTGAAAATTATAATGTAGTAAATCAGGAAGAAAAGTTAGCTAGTTTTGATTGTCAGATGTAATTTAGCAATTGGCTAGTTAGGGATTTTCCTGTGGGTTTTGTTTTTATCATTTTTACTTGGGATTTAAGTAGAATAGGGAAAAACAAATCAGATAATACTTTCAGAAATATTTTCCAGATATGTTTATGTACTTAAATATTTAGCCTCTTTTTATTATACTCTTACTCTCAAAAGTTTAAAAGTATAGTACAGTTTAAAGGCCTGCCAAGTGGCTCAGTTGGTTAAGAGCTCGCTCAAGAGTGTGAGCTCTGAACAATAGCTGTTCAATTCCCAGCCCGAGCTGAGCTGCCGCTGAGCTGCCAACAGGCAGGGCGACTCAGCTAAAATAATAATAATAATAATAAAATAATAATAGCATATTACAGTTTAAATGTACCATGTAGGTTAGATAATAAAGAGAACTAGATTTTTACATAGAGTGTTACAAATGTGTGTGCTTTTTATGTACCTTAGAATAATTTCAAATTGGATACTTCTCCAGCCATCTTGGGCCTTTTGAGCGGTTACCCTATTACTATATTTCTAACTATTGATTAAGATTCCTAAACCTTTTTGTTTTTTCAGAGATAAAATCAACAGTGTTTGATGACTGCAAGAAAGACGACGAATGGAAGGTAGAGTTTGCATATTTTGCCCTTATATTGAGGACTTTAATTATCCTTATTATACGAGGTGTGATAAAAAATACAGTGAATGTTTAAAATTTTAAAAAATTATTACAGTAAAAGACACATTGCCATTAATCCCCCTCAAATACTCCCTCTTGCTTCAAACACACTTATCCCATCATTCTTGCCATTTTCTGAAGCAGTTCTGGAAGTCCTCTTTCATGAGTGTCTTTACTTCATCCTCCATCATGACAACGCTCCATGTCACACATCGTTTCTGGTACAGCAGTTTCTGTCAAATAAAAACATTACAGTGTGTCATTCATCCACCTATTCACCAGATCTGGACCATGCGACTTCTGGCTCTTCCCCAAAGTCGAAATGACAATGAAAAGAAAATGTTTTGAATCGATTTCAGGCCATTGAGGCCGCCACAACAGCGCAACTAAAGACACTCACAAAAGAGGACTTCCAGAGCTGCTTCAGAAAGTGGCAAGAACGATGGGATAAGTGTGTTTGAAGCAAGGGGGAGTATTTTGAGGGGGATTAATGGCAATCTGTCTTTTACTGTAATAATTTTTTTAAACTTAAACATTCACCATATTTTTTTATCATACCTCATACTTCTATAACATTATAGAATCTGGAACCATACTGCTTATGTTCAAATCCTACCTTTCTTGGGTAAATTACTTGACCTCTCTGTGTCTCCATTTCGTTGTCTATAAAATGGAGGTAGTTGTAAATATTAAATGAATTAATCCATGTAAAAAGCTTAAAACAGTACCTAGAGCACTTATTATTTTACAAGTGACACTTTGTAATTTTAAGAAAATTTGATGTTAAACAACATACATTTACAGTGAACGGTACTCTGCTTCAGAAGGGAAATATTTCTATTTGCTCACTTATGTATAATAATACTCTATGTATGTATATTGAGAAAATAAATCTCTAGCTCATGCAAGTTAAAGGATGAGATGATTTTGCCTATTGTCCCAATGTTTTAATTTTATGGTATAAAAGGTTTATAAATTTAGTAGGTTTAATGGGTTAAATTCTGTCTTTTGTGAATTCTTAGCAATCAAATGCTTATACTATTTCTTAATTTATATTCATTTTAAGATAATGCTTTTAGATGAATTTACCACTAAGCTTTTGGCATCGTGTTGCAAAATGACAGATCTTCTAGCAGAGGGTATAACTGGTAAGTGTTACCAATACTCATCATGAAAACTTTTTTTATTGTGATTGGGAAAGTTTGAAGTATTAATAAATTTTAGTTAGTAATTGTGTTTCTGAAGGGAGTATGTTTGGTTTTTTTTTTTTTTATATAACTCTAGCCATAATAATTACACTCGACATTCTTTTCTTTGTGACTCTTCAGAATCACCTCTGTAACTCAGGTTTGTTTGGTTTTTTTTTCCCCTCAGCTGAAACATATAATTAAGTGCCCCAAACCAAGATTACCCATATTTCCCCATGTATAAGATGCTCCCATGTATAAGACGCATGTTAATTTTGGGGCCCAAAATTTGAAAAACAAAATGTATTACATAAAGTTATTGAACTCAAGTTTTATTCATCATAAAATTCATACAACTCCTCATCACTTGCAGGAAATTCAAGTAAAAAAATCTACAACCACTGTGTAAGACGCACCCAGTTTTTAGACACCAAATTTTTCGAGACGGTGCGTCTTATACATGGGGAAATATGGTACTTCAGCTGCCTTGTTGAGTTTGTTCTCCAAATATTGGGTTGTCAGAAAAGTCATGACGTATTTTTTCCTATGTTTTTCATTGCAAAAATGCGTCATAACTTCCGACAACCCAATATTTTACTTTTACATACTTGTTACAGTTTTGTATGTTGATGCACAAGGTTTATGTTAGTGTTTTAATTAACGTTCATGATTTACATGTATAAATGGATAGTAAGATTTATGTCATAAAGTCAACTTTTATACATATTTACAAGTGTATAATATTGACTTTGTAAATGTCTCTTTATTACTTAGAAATGAGGCAGTGAATTATAAGTTTAAATCACCTTTAATATGGGATTATGAAAAAATCATGCTGCTACAAGTTATCTTCTACTAGGCAGGATTGAATTAATGAGATTTTAATCTCCTGCTTCTTGGGGAAAATACCAATATCTTATACCATTTATAATCATGTTATCATTCTTAACTCATCATTCTTTAACATTTTTTTAAATTTGATCTTCATAACAACTCTTTAAAGACAGATATTAAATATCCCATTAGTAATGAGGAAACTGATAGTCAAATATAATTCTTTTGTATTTTGGATCCTAATGTAGTATATGTACCTTTTATCACTCCTAACTTGTGAGGTTCAAAAGTACACCCAGCATTTCAAGAAAGCTGGAGCAATGTGTACAATGAGAGGATTATCTTTAAAAAGTTTTTAAGTGATATTTACTTTTTGATATTTACATGTAAAATAATTTTTTTTTTAAAGATTTTTATTGGGGAATTGGGGGGATGGGAACAGTGCTGGGGAATTGGGAGAAGGGGAACAGACAAGTTGCTGTCNTGACTCACGGCAGCCCAGCTCCAGGTCGAGCTGTTGTTCACCATCTTAGCTGTAGAGGGCGCAGCATCACTGGCCCTCATGTGGGATCCGAACTGGAGCCCTGCTGGCGTCCCAAGCCAACTCCTAACCAACGTGCCACTTGGCCACTTGGCCTGAAATTAGTTTTAATACTGTATTTTGTTTAACCTAATATATTCAAAATTATCATTTGAACATGTAATCAATAGAAAAAAATGATATTTCACATTCCTTTTTTTGTACGAAGTCAATGACATCTGGTGTGTATTTTGTACTTGCAGGATATCCCAGTCAGCCTGGCCACGTTTTAAGTGCTCAGTAGCCATATATGACTGTTTCTACCATATAGAACAGTGCAGTCTCTAAGGTTTTAAAGACTAAGGAGATAGGTTCTGCCCAGGGAACTCTTCAGCCTCTTCCATCATAAGCTCCATGAGCATTCATTTCTTTTCTTTCTTTCTTTTTTTTTTTTTTTTAAGATTTTATTGGGGAAGGGGAACAGCTAAGTTGTCCTTCAATCTTAGTTGTGTAGGATGCAGCTAGAGCTAGCTCAGCTCCAAGCCCAGTCACCATCTGGCTGCCCATCAGCAGTTTGCAGCTACTCAGCTCAAGGTGCTGAGTTCAGTCTTAGTTGCGGGGGGTGGGGTGGGGCATGTAGCCCACTATATCATGCAGGAGTCGAACCGGAAACCTTGTGAACATTCATTTCTTAACAGAAAGACACAAATCCGATAAAAACAAGCAAAATGTCTTTGCTTTTCAGCTTGTTTGAGGTATACAGGAATAAAGAAAACTTAGAAAGAAAGTAGCATTATATTTCAGTTTCTGAGCTCTGCCTGAGAAAATGCATCATTTTTTCCTGCCAGTGCTTTAGGCTTAAATTATGGTTTAATACTTCAGGCTTTTGCCATAATTCTCGTAAAACATTATAATCTTCCTAGCAAACATATATAAGCACCTTAACTAATATTTCTTAAGAATTTCAAACCTCCCAATCACAATTCTTACAATGAGTGTTAGTAATCCTAATTAAATATACCCTCTACTGAAACATGTCATTCTTTAGTATGATACCAAAAACTTGGTAAATTTCCAAAAGCACTAACTGAAAACAGTTATAAATTAAGAAATAGGAAATTTTAGGGCCGGCCGAGTGGCACATTAAGGTTAAGAACTGGCATGGGACGCCAGAGGGCCCCGGTCCAGATCCCACATATGAGGGCCAGTGACACTGCCCTNAAAAAAAAAAAGAGAGAGAAAAAAATAACTCAGGTCAAAAGAGGGTGTGCACTTGGGGTATAAATTGGAGTGGGAAGCAAAGAGACTGGTTTAGCTACTCTGTTGGTCCAAGAGAGAAGCTGAACTGTGGCAAAGGAGGTAGAGGGGAGAAGATGGATGAGAATATGAGAGAAATTTAGGAGGAAATTTCTCTGGGGGAGAGTCTTCCTAGACCAGGACTCAGGTCTAGGAGACTAGGTAGTGGGTGATACTGTTTATTGATAAAGGGAAAGAGGAGGAACAGTTTTGGAGGGAAAAAAATAGTTTAGGTTTACAACACAGTGGATTTTAAGTGCAAGTTGAGGTATCCTGTAAGCAGTTGGAGAAAGATACAAATCTCAGAAAAGGGAGCTTGAATTAGAGATCTGGATTTAGGGTCCAGCACATAGGTGGTCATGGAAGCCATGGATTCAGATAAAGAGTAGATATAGAAAAGAACAGGAACTTTTTCCAGATCCCTATTGAGATTATCTGTTAGTACTGAAAATTAGTACTCTTATTTCCTTAGTTATGATTTACATAATTTCCTTAATCATGCTAGGTTTTATTTCCTGAAAAACTTGGTTATTCATAGATTATTTTCTGTTTTCCAGACAAATTAGTTCCTCTTGCATTTTATTACCAGGTTTATTAATAGTTTCTCTGTGATTTAAGATAATTGTGTAAGTATACCGTCAGCATTGCTGATGCCGTGCTGGACTTTGTCATTCTGCTGTCATGTTCACTTCGTGTTTTCACCTAGTCTTTGGCATTACAGTTTTAAATGCATTTCCTTTTCCTTTTGCCTTTAGGAAAAACAATGAACAAAGATAAGGTAGCCAGTATTTTTATTTTTTTTTTTAAAGATTTTGGGGAATTGGGAGAGGGGAACAGCGCTGGGGAATTGGGGGAAAGGAAACAGACAAGTTGCTGTTGTTTTGCTCTTCAGTCTAGTTGTGGAGGACGTTGCTTCACTGGCCCAAGTTGGCACCATCATTGCGCTCTTCC